CTGCAGAATTGGGTCACAACTGCATTTCACTTAGTGTGAGACATAGCCATCCAGCTGAGGTCACTGGTGTAGCTCCTGTTTATGGCATCCTACGCTCCCACACCCTGGACTTCTTTCTCTTCTTGAGCATGACCTTCCTCAGTGTTTTGTATTAGTGGTTTCCTTTTCCTGGTGTGTTCCCTCTTTCTCTAGACACCCAACACTTGCTCAACTGGATGCTGAGGAGCACAGCAATGATACTCGATTCAGGCTTGGTAGATTACCGCTGACATCTAAGCTGATACCTGCAGGATGACCCTCAGAGTGATAGAACAGAAGCTCGTGGAGGGAAGAAAGAAGTCCCTTCTCTTTTATGGATCCCAGGCTTCTAGGCAACACAAAAGACCCAGCTTAGTAGGGCCAAATGCTATACCATTATTTTGGCCAAGCATCACTTCCCACACTTCATTACAAGTGTGTTTCCTGTGTTTGCTACATAACTGAAGTCCAGCTTTCTCAAGGTGCTCAGCTGCTGGCAATGAAAGTATTTCATTTGAGATAGAGCCTAACCTCGAAGCTTGTCCCAGATCTAGGAATGGAGATGTAACTTTTCCTTAGAAACCCAGGATCAACGCCATGAACACAAATAATGTCACACAGCCAGAATGTGGCAAAGCTCTTGGGAGCTATCCCACATAAAGGGACTGCATGCCAATTCAACTAAGGAGATAAAAACAGTCTTTATTTAAACAAGAAAAACTTCCTGCCGTATGTATATGAAAATAGGGGCTGAGGTGGTGCGTGAGATGCTAAACTCAGACTCTAGCAGAGATGGTCCATGGCCGGTGCTATACAAAAAGGTGGGAAGACATAGTGTGGGGCTGGGTAGACAGAACATCCACGCTGACAAGAGTATTCCGCCTGTGGGAATTCTTAGGCATTTTTTTAAAATGAGAATTCTCCTCTCATTAGAAGTCCTATTAAAGCAAAAGCAAATTATTTGAGGGAAATAAATTTTAGAGTAACATGCTAAGCTTGGGCCTACAAGCCAAGGCTGGCTTGGTGATGGCTACTCTACTGATTCATCTCAGGGCTTTCCTGACCTCATCTCTGGCCCATTTCCTTTCTTCTCCTGATTCAAGAGGAAGGCTTCCCAATAATGAATACTATTACTGCTGTAGAAGACAGTTTCCAGAATATATGCTTCAAAATCTGCACAACCACAGCTTCTAAATTGTTCTTATGCTGTCAATAATATTGCAAAATAAGCTTGTCACACTTCTTTTGAACTTTTAAAGTTCAAAGCAAAGTCTCAATTTTAACAAGAAGTGACGACACACCTAGATAACCTACCCTTTCAGACCCCAGCCTCCCTCCATATAAAAAATGAAATCTTGGTTTGCCTGGGGCTTGTAAACAATGTTGAGTTTCTTTCAAAAGAGGGGTCTATGGAAAAGCCCTTGGATGTCTGTATTTCTGAAATTAAATGAAGGTCTTCCTTGCACTGGCCACTGAGACAGCTGTGTTTAGATACAATGCAACCCAATGCACTTTCTTCTATGATCTGCCCAACCTAACTTTCCCTTGTGTGTCTGGCTCCTGTTCACAGAGAATCATGGCTTGGCTGTGTTTTCTCCTCTATGTAAGGAACCAAAAAAGTCTTTTCTCTCTCTAAGTTAGTTGTCTCTGTTATTTCTTTATAGTAATGAAAGCTGACCAATACAATGGATCTAACACTGAAAGGGTTCTGTCTCCTGCCTCTGTCTGTCTCATCAAGTGAGTTGATGGGGTAAAAATTTAGTATCCAGAATCGATGTTTAAGAGTTATTTAGAGCACAATTTCTTCTTGTGGTTGCCTGGTTTTTAGGCCACTGTCTTCTAGTTCTCAACAGAGGAGACCAGAAGCAGTTGGAATTCAGATAAAGGTCATTTTTTAAAAACTTCTTTATAACTTCATAACTTTGATAAGAGGGAGGAGGGAGAGTGTGAAGAAAGAAAAAGAAAAAGACAAAAAGAAAAAGTTGGGTCAATGTTTATTTCTAAGTATCAGCTGGAAAGAATACTAAATGATAAGCTGCCCAGGCCTTTGGGCTTTACCTAGACCTGAGGTGGCAACCGGTTCACGAAAGGGAAGTGTTTGGTGAATGCCAATGAAAATTATGAAGTTCCAGAGGTAGGCTTTGCTATAATCAGGTTTTATTTTGTTCTGTTTTGTTTCATTGCTCAAGCATGTGTCTGCCACCCTTGTGATTTGAGGAAGCTGAAGCATTCTTCAAATCTCCTGCATGACATTCAACAAATTAAAATATGAGGGGTAAGTCAGGCACAGTATTGTAGGCTTGTGATCCAAAACATAAGAGGCCTAGACAGGATGATTTTGGGTTCAAAGTTAGCTTGGGTTACACATTGAAACACTGACTGAAAAAGCCAGGAATTGGAGATGTAGCCCCAGTGTAGAGCCCTTACCTAGTATGTACATGGCCCTGGGTTCATGCTTCAGAACTGCAAAAATAAAGGTTAATTATCTAATTATTATAATTAAAGTAATTTAATTTGAAATATTATTAAAACCATATCATTATTCTGAACTATCAGATTTATGTACAATGCTTATAGATCTCTAAACCTCACAGACTGAGGTACAAAGGCGTCCCAGGCTTCATTAAACACCACAGTGAGACTCAAAGCCATGTGCATGTCCCTGAACAGCAGCATGGCCATGTACCTTTGGGAAACCCAGATGCTACAATACTAGGCCGCCTTTGAAAATGAAGTTTTTCTAATGAGATTTTAAGCAAAAGGTGTTTCATCTAATAAGAAGTAAAAACAGTGGCATATGAAATATCTGTATAGTGAATCTCAGCTGCCTAAAACAAACTAGAAGGAGAAAATAAGCCAAAATGCTAACAATGGTCTTCTCTGCACTACACTATGGGTAATTTAAATTTCATCTCCTGGAGCTACAGTGTCCCATGGGCAGCCCTAAACCCCATGTAGCTGTATAAACTTAAAGTAATTAAAGTGGAATACAACTGAAGAATTCCTTCTTCCTATGCACCAGCCCCACACCAAGTGCCTACATGTCATGTATGGCCAGGGGCTGGTGCATCTGCCAGTGTGGCTACACAGAATTGCCAGAACTGCAAAAATGTCTGCTGTGACCTATAAATCGCAAATAAATCGCATGCATTGTTTGTCGAGTGACGAACAACTGTGTAAGTAAGTAAAGGTTCAGGCAGGCCAGGGGTAGACAAACCCCAGGAGATGTCCTTAGCATTGGCAAACCTTGCATTTTAAGGAAGTGACAGGCCAGCCTTAATGACTGAGCTTAAAGACACTTAATACTATTGTCCCAGCTTCCAACTCCCAGTTTAAGAATGAGAATGATGGTAAGGGGGGGGGGGCTGGGGATGGGCCCTGGGTCATTCTGCAGAAAAGATGCTGCAGGAACCTGTTCTAGGTGGTGGCCATTAGCTTCTCCTCTCCTTCCTCTGCACACGGCTAAACAAATGAGCAAGGCCCTTCTTGCAAGTTGGTGGGCGAATGAGATCTGTCTGAACAAGGGGATGGGGACAAACCTGACATTAGTCACATCTGTGCACTGTATCCCGTGCCCTGGCTTTCCCTACAGTAGAGAAGGTGTCAAAGCCAGCCGAGTCACGTGATGGAAACTGCCTCACTCCCAGGGTCTCCTTTTGGAGCTGTCAGAGTGGGAACATCTGCTGTGGGAGTTTAGTAGGAAATTAGCCATTGCTGGGTTACCCCATGAAGATTTTGGATTGTCTGCAGTATATTAATAGTACCTGGTGATACTACTCTAACAAATAAAAGAGTAACTTGGCCTTCTGTTCAGCAGATGTTAACACAGCAGGGCCCCCGGGAGGCTCTGCCAATCCTTGCTCTTGGGATGCTGCTGCTTGACCATGCTTTGTTCTTGAGCAACAAAGAGACATGCTAGGCAAGCTTGATGATGCACACCTGGGTGCTGAGAGTCACTTATCATGGCTGTTCTAAGAACAGAAATGTGCCTCCTTGCCAGCTATCCACCAATGCTTCAGATTCTAGGGGATTCCCTTGCACAAACCAACGCACGCGTGTTCCCTGAGTTTACTGTTAGAGAGAGAGAGAAAGCAGGGCCTGTGCAGCCTGACAGGGACGGAACTGGAAGCCTGCACCAGGCCTATCTGGACTGTGGATATACTTCATTTTCCTATTGCTCCTTTCTCCATATCCTTTGCTGTACTAAATCTTAGCTGGGAGTATAATCTGTGACTGGCCCCTGCCAGTACTCCTGATGGATTATCTAACTTAAAGGTGTTCATGGGATTCTCCCCTGACACTGCGAGACAAATAAATACTCAAAACAAGAATGACTTCTGTTGGGTCCTTATGTATCCTACTGGCATCTGCCAGTATTTTGTCTTAAGTATCAAACATTTGTGAATGAGTGATGTGGGCCAATCATAGGAGCTGACTGACAGCAATCTTACTCACGGACCTTCAGAATTTAGGAGGGTTATTTGGAATCTGAGACCATCCAAGAGATGACACCTGTTCAAGATACTCCACCTAGATGGCCTGCCTCTTTTTACATGCAATCAGATAACTAGCAAGAGGTTGCAGCCAACTCTGGTCCACTGACTGGTTCTTCATAGTTCATGAATTAGGATGATCTTTACCTTTTCAAATGTCAGAAAAGAAATAAACACAATATATGACAGCATGAAGGTTTTGAGTAGTCAAATTTCAAAGTTAGTAGCTATGACAGAGAGCCATCTATCCCCTCAACACTGCCTTATACTTATGTCCTGTTTGAGGCAGAAAGTTTGCTGACCTCTGCTTTAGAATCTTGCTTGTCTCCACATGTGTGGCTTTGGAAGATCCGTACAAGAAGAATTTGTTTCCCTCACAACATTAATATATACACACCCCCTTTACTAGGAGACAACAGGCCAGTGGCCAGGGCTACTAGAAACATCTATCTAGTCGGAACTGAAGAAGTTAGGGAGGAATGCACTCACGTAGGATCCGTAATCCACAGCCAGAGTCTGCAGAGCCCAGGGAAGACCGAGCCCAATCAAGATGTCAAACACATTGCTCCCGATGGAATTGGACACGGCCATATCCCCCATCCCTGCAAGGACAAGAGACCATTAGAGAGGAAGGGGATCTCAGTAGGAAGCACCCACATGAGACTCTCCTACGTTTTTGGTCTGGCAGTCTGGTAGTAGTTGTGTTGGACCACGTACTTGGGTCTCTCTTAGCTCATCAGTGGTATGAAAAATAACAGATTATAATACAGGGAATCCCCATTCTGCTGACTCCTAACTTCACTTCAGGTATGAAGACAGTGTAATTGATAAAAAATACCCATATTTGGTTCCAAGAACACTGGAACTTCTGAGCCACCCTCCTAGAAGAAATAAACCCCACAGCATAAGCATGGTTCCACAAACTTGCCAACTTAACACCATTGCACCGTTTCCCACCTGTCCTACCCTGAATTCACTGCTTCTTAATAACCAAGTAACAAAGATAATGTCATCAGTAGAATTTCTGAAGCAATCCACAGGACACTGTGCTAAATTTTGTTGCTCTCATTGCTTAAAATAAATGCCTTCCAACATTGATCAGGCACGGAAATGAGAGTGGAAATGATGTCACTGTTGTTAATGTACACTTGGTCAAGTAAGATTTTTGTTTTAAAATGGGGAAGTACCTGTCATGTGCTGAGAAATGACTGCTGACAACTTGGAGGTGCTATATTATGAGTGAGCTTAATTATGGGGGATTGCCTGTCTTTCATAAGTCTTGGTTTCCTTATCTATGAAATGGAAGCACAATTGTCCCTACCTCTTGTAGCTGTTGAATGAAGAAGGTGCCTCACTCAGCCCAGTGCCTCATTCACTCCAGGTTAGCTATTTTTTTTCTATATTTATTGGTTTTTGTTTTACAATTAATGGATGATAATGATGATCAAAAGGGGCTGTGGCTGCCTGGGCAAGCATCTGTGCCTTACATGGAGATGTTTTATGCCTTTTTTTTCTTATTCCTCTGATCTCAGGAAGTCATCTGGCCAACATGGCACTGAGGTTGACATCACCCATCTCTCCTTCTAAGAAGGGTCTGCTGTCCCCTTCCTTGCCAAATGAATGGGACAGCCCCCACCAGGTAGAGAATCCTTCCTTCCTTCCCTCCCTATCTTCACTGTCCCTGGAGATCCCACCTTGTCTGGCCACGATAAGGCTGGCCATGCAGTCAGGCACACTGGTTCCAGCAGCCAGGAAGGTGATCCCCATGATGACATCAGGGATCCCCAAGGTGTAACCGATGATGGTGACCTTGGAGGAAGCAGGAAGAGGCAGTGAGCCAAGAGACACTTTGAGCTACCTGCACAGGTTCCCTCTGATAAAGCTGCAGAAAAGCCTCCACTGTGGGCTATCTTGAGGTGGGGCAGCATCTTTTTTGGATTTAATCTAGGAGGGTGTGAACAAGGTGTGAATGAGATCCTGACTGCTGGCCTTGGATGATTCTTGGACAGAACCCAGACTTTTCAACGAAGGGTGAACCTATCATTTGTTCCTTTCTAGTGATACTTGCATGTTGGGAAAAAACTAGAATTTAAGAGAAAAGACAATATTGAAACAAAACACTTGAACTCTAGATGGCCCAGGCTGCCAGGCTGTGCTCGGAACGTAAACAACATGCTGGCAGATCTGTGATGGGGTTGACAAGCCCTGGAAAGGGGCTGGCTTCACATCTCATTTTGGTCTGGCTTTTTCCATCTCCACTTCCATGAAGTCAGTGTGACAGCTAATTTTGCTTGTCAACTTGACACACTTGGAAAGATGAATCTCAGTTGAGGAAATTGCCTCCATCAGATTGGCATGTGGGGACATTTTTGTGATTGATGATTGATGATGTAGGAGGGTCCTGTCCACTGCGGGAAGTTCTATCCCTAGTAGTTGGCCCGGGGATGAATAAGAAAAGTAGCTGAATGTGGGCGTGGGAGCAAAGCAGTGAGCAGCATTCTTCCATGGCTCCTGCCTTGAAGCTCCTGCTATGAGTTTCCTTCTGACTTCCCCCCAAAAATGAACTGTGGTCTGAAAGTGGAAAATGATATAAATGCTTTCCTCCCCAAGTTGCTTTTGGTCATGGTGTTTATGATAGCAACAAAGACAAAGGACACTTGGTAATTATCATCATCAGCGTCAACTTCTTCACCATAGTCACTTTCTTTCTTTTAGTTCTTAGGCACTGGGCTTAACATTCGGTTTTAACTTTCTTAATTCTCACAACCATCTGGTCTGAGTGTTCTGCTCTGCTCTTCTCAGTTTACAGGGAGATGGGAAGTAAAGGGTGGACTGCCATCACCCAAGGCATTGCTCAGTGACACAGGTGAGTCCACGGCTGTCCCCAAGTTGCAAAAGGGAAAAAACAGAGTAGCAGGGAGCTGGCAAGAGAGGTGGTGGCAAAGCCAGGCTTTGCCAAGACTGTGCATTTAAGGAATGGGGCTTGCAACACCTGGAACTCTCAGGTCATCTCGAAGCCACCGGGGCAGTCATACTTTCCATACCATCTTGAGGAAATGTAAACCATGTGTGGCAGGGAGTCCATTCACAGCACCCCTAGGCCCGTGGTGAAAGGATGGGAGCATGTGAGTTCAAGCCATTCAGATCCAAACCAGAAAATGTTCTCATTTCCATTCAGTGATGAATTTAGCACAGGGTGGCCTCAGGCTTCTGACATCTGTCTCCAGGGAGGATGAGGCTGCTGAAACATATCTCTCCAGGTTGTTGTTCTAAAGAGCCTTCATAAAACAAAGCTGCAGCAGCCTGACCAAGCCTTGGGTCCCGCCGCAGGACAGTGGCCTGGCTCTGCTGGAGTTGGCCCACTGCTCTTTCCCTGTTGTTAGGATGCTATGGCTGAGCCTGGGGTTCTGGGGACCTGGTGGGCTCAGGAAGCCCAGCCCAGGCTCCTGGCTTCTCTTGAAGTTGTCACTCACTAGCAGGAACTGAATCTAGATTAGTCAGTTCCAAGGATAGTGGACTTTAGACCTCGAGGTCAGGGACAGTAATCCTGTCTCCTAAACCTGGATTGAAGATGACATGCTGTGAGAGTCTCATTGAGGGAGAAGCCGGATGCCCCAATACTTCTGGTTTTAAAACTCCATTTGCCTGTGAGTGAGGTTGAGGTCAGGAGTAACTGTGACTTTCTCATGCCAGCTTTACTAGTTTGCTATTAGCTCCAAAATACCTTTCCAGAATTTTTTTTTTTTTTGAGTTTTAAGTTGAATTCTCCTGAATTTATACTGCCCTCTGTCAAACATCCGAGTGAAGTTAATTTGGATTTGCATAATTTGTCATGGCTTTTAATTTCTGCCCAACTCCAATTCTAATGGATTAGGTTTGCTCCCAGTTAAGGAGTATATAAATGAGCTGTCCGCATTTCTGAAAATGACTCTGGGGCAGAACTCTTTTGAGGCCCCATAACCCAGCCCAACCAATGGGATGTTATTTTAGCTTGGAAGAGACCCCTGAGCAGTCACCTAATGCAACATGTCCTTTGCCTGTGGCTCTGCAGCTCTTCCTCCACTATGGCTGGGGAATTACTTCTCTACTTGTGGATGCTGGAATTGCCCACTGGAGAGGAAGTAATAGTAAGGACCCCAGGAGGCACCTAGTGTTTCGACTTTACCCTTCCCAGGATCACACCAGCCCAAAGAAAAAGAGTCAACACTATGGAGTGATGCAGCCCCTGAATCAAAGGCAGCTGTCCTGGAGCTGCAGCAGAGTTGCAGGACTAGTCACAGGGTAATTAAATCAAGCCAGCCTATGGCTATGCAAGTAGAATGAACGCTAGTGATTTTAGCCCCATGCTAAGGTGTGGGTTGTCCTGTAACTTGCTGTAGCAATAACTGGCTGATAGAGTTACCAGGTGTAACTCTGGCTCTTATTCATCTCTGGCTCAGTGTACATTTGGCTCTAAAGAGACCCAGCAATGTACAGGGTCCCTACAAACTTACCATCCACACCATCATGTAGGAGAAGGCTGCGATCCATAGTGTAGAAGAAGCAAATGTCACCATAAACCATTTCTCCCAGCGGGGTTTGTTGCAATTGGGGACAGTGAAGTACAAGACGAAACTCAGTGGCCAGGTGAATGCCCATTTCACGATTTCCAGTTTGCCAGCTGGGGGGAGAAACAAACAAAAAAGTAGCCTTCACACTGCTTTCCCAAGAGCTAAGTCTTATCATATATCTCTTTTCATAAAATACTTAAATGATTTTCCACCACCACCCAAGCGGGACACATAAAACCAAAGAGAAAAAGAGATGTACTGCCTGCCTGCTGATTGGTTCTTGTTAATAACTGAGTCACTTCAGATAATACTGGGCTGGGGGATCTAACAAATGGTCTAGGGGAGGAAAGACGAGGAAGGTACTCACAAAAGGGCAGTGTGTGTGTGTGGGGGGAGGGTGTGTGGGTGTAGGTGTGTCAGTGTGGGGGGCTGGGAAGACCACCAGTTTGTGTCTGTTCTCCACTAATCCTTCCCAAATTACAGAGCCAGCCAACACAGCGCCATCTAGTGAACTTTCTTAGTGTTACATCATAAACGGAAAAGGGTTTGCAAATGAGTGCTAGCCTACTTAAAAAGTAAAAGGACAAGTTGACAATCTGCCAGTGATGCCTGCCCCTACCATCCTGTGTTGCCAGAGTACTTTTATACCAGAAACTCCAGAAATGCTTGTTATGGTGACTATCTGCCATGAATTCCTTGTAACCTCAGATTTGACAAATCTATTAACTCAAATCCTTTGGTTTCCTTTATGGTTCTACTCAACTTCTAATTAGCCTATGGAACAAAATGCATATGCACATGTGTAATATCCATGCCAACTGACACACAAAACATCCTCCACCTTCCAGAAAGCTCTCTGTGCCTCTTTCTAGTCAACCCTCACCCTGACAACCACAGATTAGCTTTTGTTCACCCCAATGTCAAAGGAACTAGTCATTGAGTAGTTTTTCCTTTATTTAGCACATTTTTGTTTTGAAGTTATCTGAAGTGCCATTAGTTTATTCCTTTTAATTGCCTGGAAGATGCTTTCTTTGCTTATCCACTCTCCTGGGGTAGGCATTGGGTGGTGGCCGGTCGGGTTTATAGAATGATAATGATAGTGGCGATAATGTATGGTCTTCTGGAGATGGCTTTATTCTGCCTGAAGATGAGGGGGGGGAGCTTCCAAGTCATGAGATGTGTGTTTACCTTTTTACTAAGGAATTAAAAATAGTTTTCACAAATGATTGAACAATCTCATATTTTTTTACCTCATTATTTTGAGCAGTGATTAATACAAGGCTTAATACAATTTATTTCATCTCTTCAAACCAATGTGCAGTATATTTCATATTACCTCTTACTCCATCTAAACTGTTTTTTCTTTTTTTAAAAAAAATAGAAAAGGTACCTATTGTTGCTGGCACCAGTTCGCCCCATCAGATGGGCAAGACAGACCAATCTATAAGGAGAATGTGGCTTCCTCATCAGACAGCACTGGGGTGAAGGCACCCTCTGGTTTAGGAGTTGGACTGTTGCATCTCTGTGTTGGTTGTCTGTTTCAACTTGACACACATGTAGGAATCAAGGACCTCAACTGAGAAAATGCCTCCCTCAGATTGTCTTGTAGGCAAGTCTTTTCTCGTGGGATGATGGGGGAGGTCCTTCTGTGTATATGATTGTCTTATTGGTTGATAAATAAAGTACTGTTGGCCAATAGGAAAACAGGATAGGTGGGACTAGGAGTCAAGGAGGATTCTGGGAAAGGTAGGAGAAAGTGGAGAGTCACCATGTGAACCTGGGAAGACAAATCCCTTGCCGCTGTTGACTGATAAGTCTTATAAAATATATAGATTTATGATAGTTAAGACTGAGCTATGATAGTTAAGACAGATGAGAAATCTTAGTCATTGGCCAAGCAGCATTTGTACCTAATATAAGTCTCTGTGTATTACTTGGGACCTTAACGTGGTGGTGGGCAGAACTTGGGCGGCCTGGTAGAAAGACTTACTGTTACAGTGGGACATTTTCTTTCTGATTAATTACTAATGTTGGAGGGTCCAGCACACTGTGGGCATTGCCATCCTTGGATAGGTGGTCCTGGGGTGTATGAGAAAGTAGGCTGGGAAACCATGTGGGGGGTGTTGGGATGATCTTTTTGTACACTGTGTGAAGATGTGTCTGTGTTATCTAACCTGCCTAAGGCACCTTCTGATTAGTTTAATAAAGAGCTGAATGGCCAATAGCTAGAGGCAGGAGAGGATAGGTGGAAATTCAGGACAGAGATAGGAACTCCAAAAAAGAATCTAAGTGGGAGAGTCACCAACCAGTCATGGTGGAAGTTGGACATACAGTCCTAAGGAGAGGTAAGGAGCCATGTGGCAGGATATAGATTCATATAAATGAGTTAAGCTTTAAGAGATAGTTGGGAACAAGCCTAAGCTAAGGCAAAGCTTTTATAATTAATAAAACGTCGCCATGTCATTATTTGGGAGCTGGCAGTCTAAAGTAAGTCTGACTATAAGGGGCAAAGCAGTAAGAAATGTTACCTCCTGGCTTCTGCTTTAGTTTCTGCCTCCAGGGTCTTGCCCAGCTTGAGTTCTTGCTTTGGCTTCCCTTAATGATGGACTCTGATTGGGACACGTAATCCAAATAAACCCGTACCTCCTCAAGTTGGTTTTGATTATTGTAGATGGAGTTTGCTGTTCTACCTGGTCCCACAGCCGTTTAGTCTTATTGGGTATCTCTCTCTTTTCCTGTTGGGCACTATGTATTGTGTTAGCTTTAACTTGGGGAAGGTCAAGAGGACAATGAGACCCTAGAGCCCAGCTAGATTGCTCATCAAGAAGATGGCAGCTGTACAGGTTGTTTTGTGATGGGCTTCAAGTGCTGCAGGATTCAGAATAAGGCCAGATCTTTGGGTCCCATGTGAGTCCTTGAGTTGGGCATTGAGGCTTTACCTACCTGGAACTCCCCCTTGCTGGCATTATATCAGGGGGAGACAGTCACAGAGACAGAGAAAGAGATAGAGAGCAATTTGAAATGGACCCCCAATCAAGGGTTACAAGGAAACAAGCCAAAAGAACAAGAAATGACCTCAACTTGGATCTCTAATATTCCTCAGAAATTAAAAATGAGAGGAAGATGAGGTCATGACATGGCACTCTAGAGAGCAGGGAGAATGGGGTTGATTAGCGAAAGCTGCACACAGTGTGAGCTGGTGCCACCAAGGGCCAAGTCCCCCCTACCCCCACCGTTCTCAGCTGTTTGGCTCTGAAGGACATGGAATCAGGAAAACAGTTCCACCGTCGTGAAACTGTACAGTCACATTTGACATTCTTGTTCCATCAACCCTAAAGGTAGAAATTCAGAGAGCAGTGTCTAAAATATGACTTTAAACACAAGGTAACAGATTCATTTCCTTGAGCAAAGCAAGCAACACAGAAAGGGCTTTGAAAATGCCTTGGAGGAGTGAAGAAGGAAGGCACATATTTCAGCCAGCTTTAATGTCTGTTTCTGAGTAGGAGGGGAGACATTTTCTCTCCCGAGTCAGCAGCATTTCTGAATATTTTCTATATTTTGTTGTGTCACCATTTTTTCCAAACAGAGCCCCAGGGGAAATGTTTATTTGTTTACTTAGAGCATATGTGTTGGGTGTGTGCCCTTTAAGCCATTTTGTGCCAGGCTAGGACACAGCATGAATTAGAAAGCATACTTCTTCTCTGTGGGGGCCTCATACTTGCCACAATGTGGCTTCACAGAAGTCAGCCAGTGACTGGGAGGCAAAGCCAGGGTGACAAGTGTCAGGGTCTGTTCCAAGGACTTGCTTTGGAGCTCTATTGCTGACTAAGCTTTTAAGAATGCTTAGATCAGGCAGAGAGAAAAAGACACCGTGCAATGTTTTAGACCTATAATAAACATCCATTTTTGTTCTGATTGCATACAAACCAAAACACATATTAACAACAGAAAAAAATCCACCCAGCAAAACATTTTTATTTTGGTGGATTTCCTTCCAGTATGTTCTTTTATGGAAATGTATTTACCTACATACATATCTCTGTTTGTAAGTAGTAAGACTTTCTTCACTCAAGAATATATGTGTGTGTGTGTGTGTGTGTGTGTGTGTGTGTGTGTAGGTGTGTAGATAAATGCACTATACATAGGTGTATATATAATGTCTATGTGTTTAATGCATACATAAACTCCATTTGCAGCTATAAACAGTTATATTAATACAAATGCATATGCACATGATAGTAAGATTACTGAGAAACAGGCATGGGAGAGTAGTGTATGCAGGACGAATTGCTGCACAGAGGGATGGTCCAGGTGGGACACAGCAAGATGATGAGAAGCTTCAGAGTAGACCTTGATTTCAAGCCTATTTCTGTAATTTTCCATTAAATATCTTCGGACAATGGACAGTGGCTGTGGTTGACCACAGTTAACTGCAAATGAGTGAAAAACCACAGATGGGGGGGTGGTGCTGTATGTTTTTTTTTTTTCTATTGAGATAATCTACTAAAAAGAAGTAATTTAACTTTGGCAGGTATGCAGGAATCTGAATGGTATTTCTTTACTAGATTTGGTAAGTGACTATCAAGACTCCTGACTTAGGGAAGGGGCAGGGACTCAGGAGCAGTTCTGCTCTGAGTTGGACTTGTTACCTGCCCCTCCCGCTGGATACAGGAGAAGCACAGCAAGGTCTTGCAAGTGAGGACAGGACAGGGCTGGGAACTCTAGACTCACTAAATGGGCTTTCAGGATTATCACACAATACTTGCTTAGGCAGTCCTCAAGCAAGCTCAGCCAGCCCAGGGGAATTGCACTCACTAGTTAATTTTCAAACGACTGTGAATGGGAATTGGACCAGTGCAGGCTTCATGAAACTGACAGAAACTTCTTGAAGGTCTAGAAAGGACACAGAATTCTTTGGGTTTGGTCCTCATGTTCTGCTAATGGGTGGGGGTGAAAGACGTGGTTACTGGAACATTCAAGGACATGCCCTACTCGTCAAGGTTCTGAAAGGTTTATATGTCTTGTCTCTCCTCTTCCAATATGTCAGGGAGAGTCCCTGCCCAGTCCCATGGGCTAAGACCCCCAAGGACTAGCTTTTGTCTGTGTCTCCTGTGGATGCTGCTCTGCAGAGAGCAGGTGTGGAAGATGCAAGGTCCTGAATAGAGGCAAAGAGGAGGAAGTGAGAACATCTGCCAGAGCCATCTTGGGCAGGGCATGTACAGCCAGGATGAAACATCAGTGAAGTGCTTCTGCTGTGGGCACCATGATGTCTTGCTGACATGTGTCATGTGCATTTATATCTTAAAACAAAAGGTCCTGCAACACGGCTAAGAGTCTAAGAGGGGACTTGCATTCACCAAATGCATTTGTTGAAAGTGCTCACACTTCAACCCCTGCCCACGTGCCCTCATCTTTGGGCCTTTCACAACAGAGCCCTTCCCACTGCAGATACTTCATACAACTATGTTTCTGCTTATCAAGAGACTCTTTTGGAATCCAATAGCAAAAGGATAGCCAAGTGAAGACCATCTACCCAGGGATCCCCAGATATCTCCCTTCCCAAGGCCAGATCAAGGACCTCTTACAAGGGGGGTCAAATGGCGTGTAGGGTCCTTCATCATCATCGTCATCCTCCTCTTCCTCCTCATCATTCTCGTTGTTCTCATTGTCTTCGTTCTCATTCTCTGTCTCGTTGTCAGCCTCAGCAATGATGTCATCCCTCCGGGTCCCATTCACACCCCTGTCTGGGGCACTGCTGGGCCCTGTTCCATTCTCCACAGTGTGCTTAATTGGGATTTTGATGGCCACTTCAGATTCCCCATTGGCGTAAGCCCTGCTGTTTATCAGTCTTTGTCTCTGAAAATAGAAAGTGGTCTGTCACTATTGTCAGAGGGATGGAAAGCACAGGTAGGTAGGTCTTCCCTAGTGATGATGAGGAGATGCATCCAGAAGACTTGAGAGCCAAGAGTTAGCTTCCTCAAAGCTGTAACAGATTCAGGCAGTTTCCCTTCGGGAGGGAAAATTAACCTTTTTTGACCCACTGGAATTTTAAAATTCCCTTTGGGAAAATTTCTACATCCAGGGTGTGCAGTTCTTTGACATGTGTGCACTGTGACATTATCTTTTCTATATTCAAGAAGCTATAGCACTGTGCTCAGACTAGTGTGTTTGTGAGGTTGCTGTACTCTGGCTTGTTTTAAACTATGGTAACTTTTCCCTAGCAACTTTGATACAAGTTTACAAGGTGGAGATTTATTCAAATGGAAGAAAACAGGTCCCTGCTGGTGATATAATATAACTTAGCTGGTACAGTACTTGTTTAGCAAACATGAGATCCTGGATACCATCCCTACACCTCATAAACTGAGAGTGGTAGCACATGCCTGTAGACCCAGCACCCAGGAGTTCAAGATACTCCTTGGCTGCATAGTGGATTCGAGGCCAGCCTGGGCTATGTGAGATCCTATTTCAAAAAAAAAAAATGAAAACAAAACCCAAAACAAACAAACAGGTAAGTAGATATGACTAGGTTGTGTTCCTCAATGCAGCGAGGAGAGGGTGAGGGCCGGGGCACAGATGGTTCAGGGGGCAAAGATGCTGGGAAAGGGCTGAGGGATAGGCTTCTGATAAACTCTCAGCCAGGTGCTGCATCTTTTAAATAAAAAAGCATTTTTATTTAATACTTCCCTTCCCTTCCCTTTCCTTCCCTTCCCTTCCCTTCCCTCCCCTCCCCTTCCCTTCCCTCCTCTTCCCTTCTCCACTGTTCTTTCCCAGATACCTCATTGATCAACATTCGACTGGCCATGGAGAGCCGGGTCTTGGGAGGAAAGTGGCTTGTGATCATAATTCGAAGGCCAGCCTCGGAGAAAGAAAGCTGGTGTGGGTAGGCCGACAGCAGCTCATCTACCATGATCACTGATGCTTTGCGGTGGAAATTGGCTAGGGAGACGTGAAAGAGAAGATACGATAGCATGGGAGGCATTCATCCACTCCTCTTCCCTTTGAGTCTCCCCCACCCTACTTCTTCACACCTTTGCCCCTGTTCATCCACCTGTCCATTGGTCCATCCATCCATCCACTTGCCTCCCCTCCCCATTCTTCTCTTCCTCTCCCTCTTTTCCTTCCTTCCTCATCGCTCTCCCCTCTTCTCCATTCCCACCAACCTCTTCCTCCTTTTTTCATCCTTTCTTTCCTTCTATCCACCCACTGCAGGTTGCAATGATCAAAATTAGGGGTCATATTTGAGTCATGGGTCATATTTAATAATTTTTTGAAATGACTTGAGACTATTCAAATACCACTCATCAATATGGTAAGGCTGAGCAGAGTAAGAGAATTCCTCCTTGTCCCCAAAGAGTTATTTTCCCACCACTAAGATCCCAGTCACGGGAAAGATTCAAATAACCTTTGGTAACCCATCATGCCCATGCATGGTAACCCAAAGGCACTGGTAAATGCTGAAGAGCTGACTTATGTTCCAGGTGGAGGGCATGGCATGGATATGTACACACTCCTGCATCATCCCATGAACAGAGTGGACAGGGGGACAGCTGTCCACCCACAGAGGACCAGTGTTTAGGAAAAGACTTCAGAGAAGCCTTGCACAATATGAAACATTCCACTCAGGCCTGAGCCCTCTCTCTGCAGAAGAGCACCACACACCCATCACTCATAGGTACATGGCTGGAGCTCCTTTTAGTAGTCACTCCGATTTTCCAGGACATGAAAACATGAAATGATCTCTCATATCACCATCAGCCCTCCTTGCTATGTGTGTTTGTATGGGTGTAGCGTGTGCATGTGTGGATTCACTTGCCCATGTGGGTGAGGAGGCCAGAGGTTGATGTCAGGGTGTTTTCCTCCATTCCCTTTCCACTTCTTATTTTGGGAGAGGATCTCTCACTGAGCTTGTAGTTTCAGCTAGACTTGCAGGCCAATAGGCTCCCAGGGATTTCTTATCCGAATCCCCCAACACTGGTGCTATAGATGCATACTGTGTGTGTGTGTGTGTGTGTGTGTGTGTGTGTGTGTGTGTGTGTGTGTGTGTGTGTGTGCACTGGGGATCCGAACTCAGGTTCTCATACTATGTGGCAAATGCTATGCCCACCAAGCCAGGCACAGCACTATTATTATTTAGCTTTTTGCTGCTCCCGCAAGCTCCTTTTATGGTTATAAAGTACTCAGAAGTGAGAAACTAAAGAAAATCATCACATGGGATGGTATTAAGTAACATCAAAGTCTTTCATTAAGCATACATATAGTTATTCAGAAAAAAGTATCAAATATCTGATTTCAAAATATAATAAATTATCAAGAGACTAAAGTTAGCGATATAGTTGAAAATAACCTGTAAAGTTTTAAAATTTATTCTTTGTTGTTTCCCTGCAAGTGTCCATATGGGACACATTTCAAAGATAAAATAAAATTTATTCATGGAAAAATTCCATGATATTTTTCTATACCCCATACAAACAATGTTATTTATCAGAGAGTAGCATGTGGCTTCCCCTATCATAATAATGGTCTTTTAAGAGCCTAATAAATAGAAGAATTACTTTGAAAACAAAGGTAATTTTTTTCTCTCCTTCTGTAGCTTGGAATCTGAGTTAATGCAGTCTGAAAGAGAACTTGGATATATGTGATAATAACTAGCAATGCCTATCACTATAAAGCATTGTGTTAAGTTCTTCATATTTAACTGACCTCCTCACTACAGAAATGATGTCTCTCTTAGGCTCAGAGAGGTTAAGTAACTTTTCATAGTCACACAACCTTAATCTACTTTCTCAAAATCCATGGTCTTCTGTCTTGGCTCTTCTGGCCCCATGTTTCCATATAACCTTCACAGAATGAGTTCCCTGGCAATGGAAGTGGATCCAGGTATGGCCCATGAGGCAGAGGAGGAGAGAAAGCTCTTCTTTGTTTTCTCTCAGGGCCAACTGGAATGTCTAGCTGTGGCTATGTGCTAGGTAGACAGACTCACACTGCAGCACCCATCCTGGACTCAGGATCTGCTATTTACCTTTCTTAAGTAGCACCACAGTGGCGTCACAGTTGCTGCTGTCATCGATTTCAGCATTGTTGGCCAATCCATTGACCATGTTCCCGGCACCCTTCGTTCTCCTTTCGAAGCACTGGTGTATGCACGCATTGTATCTGAGCAAGCATAAGCAGAGAGAATCTATCAGCGCCTGTGTTCTCCTTTTCCCGACTCCACAGCATCCTCTCTGAGATCTTCCCATATGGACACAGCTGGTGAGGCCCTGTGTCTGATCCTCATGGTCTGCATGCTACAGCTGCCTGGTTATCTAGACCTACTTTGGCTTCCTGCAGTAGGAGATTTTATTGCTAGTATTACTGTTACTGTGTACCTTCACTTCAGGTCCGGTTGGTTTGTGGCTTTCTGATAATGTTCTGGACTCCAGTGCTCTGCAGGGATGGTGAGTTGCACCAAGCAGTGCCTTTGGCATGCCCTGGTAGACTAGCTTTGAAAGGAAGCAGTATTTTCAGGTTGCTAGGATAGTTTGGGCAGGAAAATGTTCGAGTCCCTTTACTCTGAAGTTTCCCAGAGGAATTCTCAAAATCCCAAGGGCAAAGGCAGACACAGGGATTTACAGAGCACCTTGGTTCACTATTGCGCTTTCTCTCACTCACAGATCTTATTGCTTATTGTCCATGGTACTACCTCCTGAAGCTGCACCTCCAACCAACTTGACTTCCAGCCTCCCACTGGAATTCAGGCTGGGCCAGAAACCACATAAAACCTGCTTCATTCTGTCCCTCATTCCTTTTGCTCCAAGGCAGGAGGCCCTTTACAGTCCCCTCCTGCTATATTCTTGTGCCCTGATTTTTAGTCAGTGCCTCAGTGGGAGTATTAACTGTGGGAACTTCCCAACTACCTGGCAGAGACAGGGTGTGGTGTGGTGCGGATGGGTGGGTGTGCTCTGCGTTTGAACCTTCTTTCTCATGGACCCCTTCTTGAATTCTCTGGAGCCTGTGGCTGTTCCTTTTTGGCACAAAGGAAAACAGGAAACTAATCAAGAGTGATAGACATAGGCTCTGAAAAGGGACCCAGACAGCCAACCCTAGATTCTTGGAATTCTTAAGTGGGATAGAATCAGAACGCTACTATATTGTATGTAACCTTTGTGAAATAATGGCTCCAGATGTTGAACATCAATGGCTGCCACCACCACAGAGGGAAAGGTGACCTAGACGTGCCTCCTGATGGTATAACTCATGTCGATGCAGTTGAGCCTGATTCAAACCAAACGTGGACATACGGGACACAGAGAGCAAAGGAACTGGCTTTGCCATGCCATGGAAGGGGAATGCAGTAACAGTTTCCAAACCATGGACATCTTTGTAGGCTAACAACTAAACTCTGCCTAAGAATAAACTGTAAGGATGGACACACACACACACACACACACACACACCCTGCCCAGAGGAGTGGTTATAGGCAGAAAGAGCTCCAAAGCATGAAGCTCCCACCTATAGTAATTTTAAAATCATTCCTTTCGACTCCAACTGGAAAAACATTTATGATATTTATGAGACCCGAAGGAAACTGAAAAGTAGGACAGATCAATACTTTTGGAAGTTGAGCTACTCAGTGGGTATTTGGGAGATTGAGGAATTAGCATTTGTTTTAGGTACAATAATAATTGTGGCTAGGATAAAGATTAGTCCTTTTAGAAACACATGCTGAAATATTCATGGATGAACCATAATGTCTGATGCCTGGGCTTCAAAATTATATGGAGGGAGGGAAACAGGTTCACGTGGAACAAGGCTGGGCTGATGGCTTGGGGACTGAGGATGGACATGTGGGGCTTGTCATTCTGTTGATGTTTGCTTATATTCAACATTCACCTAATAGAAAGGCTTTTTAGGTTCAGTATGATTGCCTTTCCTTAAGACAGGGAGAAAAGCAGTGGCTATTTTTTTCAAGGTCTCACTGTGTATTCCCAGGTAATCTGGAATGTTCTAATGTAGAACACAATACTCCGGGCTTGCAATCCTCCTGCCTCAGAAGTGCAGGAATTAAAACCTACTCCATCATATCTAGCTGGAAACAGTGTGCTATCTTAACTCAGAAACTATTTTCCCCCTAAAGATGCCAACTTGCACAAGGATTTGCTCTCAAAGGATAATAGCATCTTACTAATTTGTTGGTGTTTTAATAACAGGGTAACAGTACCATACAATGAAAGCTTTAAAAAAATTGTTCAGTGATGGCTTTCTTGAAGCCAGATATCACACTGATAACTAACTGGTTACACCCTGTCCTGATAAAGAACCCATCAATGTAGGAACTATTATTCATTTTTATTTTGCAGAGGAGGAAACCAATATTAAAATGGCTGAATAATTTAGCCTCATTCCCAGGGCTACTCAGCAGTTGGTGAGAGCTGCTTCTAGGGGTGAATGGGAAGTGCTTAACTCTTACCCACAAGACCATATGGCCTCTTCTACAAAATTCATCCCAGAGAAGTGACCAGGGTGAATCAAGGTCAGTCTTTGACAAGGTTGCCTGTGCCACATAGCCTGGAATGTTTCTATCTCTCTGGCCAGTCAAAAATTGCTTTTGAATTTTCAGACAGAATGTTTAAAGTCATTTTAAAGCTGTCTACTCAGGAGGCAGCTGAAGAGTCTAATATATGCTGTTGGGTTTTTTTTTTTCTCCTCCCATGGCTGTGGCTCTGTTTTATATTTTTAATTGAATGTTTTAAATTTTGTGCTTGCACCCTGAAGCTATTTTATTGTGAAGCATGCAATTTTATAAATCAGATTTTATAAAACCCAATGATCAGAGCCTCTGATTGCAGAGAGGGACGGCTAAAGAGCAGAGATTTCAATTTAGAACGTGGGATGGAATTATGCAGAGAATTCCATGAGAGCAGGAGCTGTTATTTGCAGTTTTATTTGTGTCCTGCTGGTTTGAACATCTGGAATGGTGAGAAAGCTGAGGCCTTGGCAGAAACAACCTCCTTAGCTGCTCTATGTGGTGTGACTTTGGGTAGAGGTTCACTTGTTTCCTTAAGGCTTACATGTATGACCTGCAACTTGTGGCTTTATGGTGACCGGGGCAAAGGGTGTAGTGACTACAGAAAGCCTGCTAGCAAAATTCTTCAGCATCCTTCCCTTTAGATCCTATCTGTGTTTGAAGACCACCTCATTTTGCAAAGTCTCCATTAAATTCATGATGGTACACATAACCATCAAAACCAGGATTCGAGAACCCAAATGCTCAGCACCAAATGCTAACCCCAAATGCTCAGCCTGGGAGAGATACTGTAGGGCAATCCTGGATCATTGCAGGATCAGCTTCTCAAAAAGGAGAGGACTTTTGGCTATAGGAACCCGAACTTAGAGCTTCCAAAAGACTTTTTAAAGAAGGTGAAATAATTGGAAAGAAGTCATGGATGGAAGTGGTGAGAATCATTGAATACATTCCCACTGTGGCACTGACTCCATTTAAAGCCAAGAAGAGTAAGGTGGCTGCTCCACCTTAGGGCTTTCTCTTTGGAGGCCAGAGAAAGCCTTTTGGGTCAGCTACGGTTTGACTGGGAGATCACTGATTAGTATTTACAATGGAAGGTAATTAGTTACATGGTGTATGACTTCTGGCTCCCTCATAAATTTCTTTGTAGCAATCCCAAGCCAGGATATACCATAGGGAGGTCATACTAGGGAAATGCCCAGTGAGAGGATGCAGAGCTGACCACTGGACTGTTCCTCCAGTAAATGCTGGATGCCATATTGAATAGAGGGGCAGTGAGTTCTTATGGCCCACCCTGGACACCAGTCAAGACATCACCCAATTTCACTGCTCATGTGATGCTTGGCTTCATTCAAACTTGTTTCTTCTAGCAGGCCTCTCAGGCCCTGGTGGTGCAAATTACCTCTTTTCCACATCTCATCAGAAAAAAAAAATAATACTGTGCCCATCTTAGACTGCTGTTTGGCATATCCAAGCTGGCAAGTGCTGCGAGTTCTCTAGTTTCCTTCCCCTAGAGGTGTTTACCCACACTGGGGGAATGGAGGGGATGGCTGAGTTCAAGAGACAGCTCCACAGGGATGCGATCTACAGCTCTGCCCTATTTACATGTTCCTCATCTCAGAGACACTAGGTGGGGACCAGAAGCATCAAGTTAAAAAAATGTGCTTTTTCCCCCCTTAGAGAATAATAAGCAGTACTATCATTTTTGATTTTTAAAAAAGTGGGAACCTGTATAAGACCAAATCAGGCCCCCTGAACATGAGTTGGAGGGCTTGGGTAGTCTATGGGGCTGCTGGCAGTGGAACCAATATTTATCCCTAGTGCACAAACGGGCTTTAGGAGCCCATCCCCTATGGAGGGATATTCTCTCAGTCTAGATATGGGGGGTGGGGGGATGACTCGGTCCTGCCCCAAATGATGGTTCAGACTTTGATGATTCCCCCATGGGAGACCTTATCCTCTCTGAGGAATGAATGGGGGGGTGAGATGGGGGATGGTAGGGAGAGTGGGAGGACCGGAGGGAGAGGAAAATAGGATTGGTATGTAAAATAAGATTGTTTTTAATTTAAAATAAAAAATTTATAAAAGTAAGCTGCCTTGATCTCATGTGAAGTGGTAGCTTTAAAACAGGAGCAAGTTATTGGCTTCTCTATTCTTCCATAACTAAAGTACAGTCCTGAGTGAGAGCTGCCTTCAGTGACTCAGGTCCTATAAGTAGGACAAGACGACAGTGATGGTGTGCATGTCTGAGAGAAGGCAGGCTGCTCTGCCCTCTGCCTCACTCTCTGACTCTCTGGAATCACTAGCTCTATAGGGAGCCATTCGAGCAGCCACAGGGGGAAGCTCATATGTAGTGAGAAACTGAGCCTTGCAGCCAGTATCAGCTTCCCTGCATGAGAGAGGGCCATCTCCAAGGCAGATTCAAGCAGCCTTAGTCATCTTTCGGGCTTCAGCCCTAGCCAATGTCAAACCTGCAATCTCATGAGAGACTCAGCCAGGATCCTCCCAGTGAAGCAAAGCTCTGGGATTTCTAATTCCCAGATAATACATAGTTGTAAGTTCTGGGACAATTTGTTACACAGCAACAGATGACTCAGACATCTGAAGTAATGGAAGTCTGTATGGTTTCAGGCCCTTAGTTAGCTCTCATTCCATCTTCCCACAACCAGTATAGAAATACCACTTGTTGGGTTTTATCTTCATTCTAATCAAAGCTAGAAACATGGCTGCCAGATCCTAAATAAAGAGGCAGGTTCTAGAGAATTCTTGAATGAAATACGGAAGTGTTGATTTTGTCACCAAATCTGAGTCAAAGGGTCATTTTTTCATGATTCCTAATCAAAGCGATATTCCCAACAGCCATGGAGTCCATAGTGGTGGACACTGACATGAGTCAGCCCGCCCACCCCCCCACTCCTCTGCATCCTTACACAACACAGCAAGTGATTTACTTACTTCATGATGACGATATAGATGAGGTACATCAGCACAAGGACTAGAGATTCCCACCTGCACAGGACAAAGGACAGTTAGAGAAGGCAAGCCCAGCGGCTAAGCCATGCCAGTCACTCGGTGCTGGAGGCATCTGATGTCCATGGCCGGGATGGCAAGGCAGACTAGTTACACACATTCCTAGTCTATGCAAATGTTTTCTGTAGTATAGATTTTCCCTTCTCACCTGAAGGGAGGACGAAGCTCTGCTATTTGCTTACCACAAAGAGCTCTATGGAAAGTGGCAGGCCCTTGAGCATACAAGTGCTTGCAGAAGTCTGCTGTGGTTTAATTACCTACTAGGATTACCCAGATCCAGATCTACTTACTAAGAGCAGACACACCAGAGGAACTGATCAGGGACTGGGTAGTGGTAATGGTGGGGGCTGGGCTGGATGCAGAGGGGTGTGGCCAGAAAGAAACAGGGAGAAGAGACACAGAGATAAGGAGAGTCATGGAGAGAATGAGGTAGAGTCAAGGACAGCAAGGCAGAGATCCAGAACCTTCTTGGGTGAAAAGGTACCAGGAAGAGTAAGACTGAGTGAGAGGGAGCTGGGAGTGGTGGACAGCAGCTTGTGCCTATAATCCTTGAAAGTGTACTACCTTGTGAGTTTTAGGTCAGTTTGGGCTACGGAGGAGACCCTGTATCCAAAAACAAAAAAATAGAAAACCCAAACCAAAGCAAAAAAGGGTAAGAGGTGAGACAGCCAAGAGAAAGGAAGGCAAACAACAGCCAACAGGAATGTCTGTCCTTGCCTCTTAGGAATCTTTTTCATTTTCTTTTTTTAGTAACTCCCAGCTAAATCTCGGGGGACTTGGTTTTTGGACCCCTGATTAGCCGCAGGATTAAACTAGTTGAAGGAGCATGTTTGGTTTGGAAAGAAGGGGCCTGGGGAGGTCTGGGGAGGAAGTTCCAGGCCCCTTAGTCTTTCTTTGATCCCAGAGAAACTGTTATATAAAGAATATACCGGGATGTGTGCTGTTACATTTATAAAATGGAAATGGTTGGGAAATTCAGGCAGTTTTGCCTGCAAGAGGGGCTAGGATACAGTAAGATACAACAGAGACTCCTGCTCACTCAGGCTTAGAAACCAGCTGGCTGTTCACCAGCAGAATAATAGATAAAGAAATTGTGGTACATATGTATATGTATATATATGCAAATGATTTATCCATAAACATGAATATAATTGTATTCTTTGCAGGAAAATTGGGTAAGACTAGAGGTCACATCAAGAAAAAAAAGCCATACTCAAAAAAATGAATATCATGTTTTTTTTCTCATATGTGGAATATAGATGAAAAATAAGACATAAAAGTAGAAGTGAAATTAACAATTAGGAAGGGGACAATGGAGGGCAAAATAGGGGGGCAACAGATTAGAATGGAATGAATGCAATCAAAGTATATGATATATTTGAATGGGAAAGTTAATAACAAAGCCCATTATTTTATACAACCAATACAGTCTAAATAAAATGAAACTGGTCATGAAAACCCTGTGCCCACCCAGAGCTCTCCCATGCCTCCTTAAGAATGATTTTACTAGCATGGATTTACCCAAGCAGAAAGTCCTTGTGGGTGTGAGAGGCCTTTGGGCATCCTAACTGTCCCAGGTTCAGCCACAGATCTTGGCTTCAGTCACCAGGAGGGTGCCTGCAGTCTGACCCCCACTCCATCATATATGTGAAAGGAACTTCATGGTGAAGTCATTCTAAAAAAGGTTCATTTTAATAGACACAGTGTAAGATCCCTGGAAAAGAACCAAATCCAGTGGCCAGCTCTTTATCTTCCTTCTCTTCCTTTTCCTCTCTTTATCTTTTTGGTCATGCTGTATCCCAGCATGCCCTCAAATTTGTATCCTTTCTACCTCAGCCTCCAGAGTTCTGGGATCACAGGTATGGACCATGCTGCACAGCTTAGATCCAGTACTTTTCCATTGTTTGAGTTTTATCCCTCAAAGCAAGCCTTTGTGTGTGTGTGTGTGGGGGGGGGTTCGAGACAGGGTTTCTCTGTGGCTTTGGAGCCTGTCCTGGAACTAGCTTTTGTAGGCCAGGCTGGTCTCCAACTCACAGAGATCGACCTGCCTCTGCCTCCCGAATGTTGGGATTAAAGATGTGTGCACCACCACTGCCTTTCTTAAGCTGGCTGTTGGACATTTTTCATGATCACCCAAGGATGGGAGGCCTGATTCCTGCCTACATTGCTGGTGTCCTATGTGGACTTGCCAAGGCCTTTTCTACCCTAACACACTGGGCTGTTGAGGCCTTTGTGGCCTCCCATCATTCCCTTGGCTCCCTTGCTTAGCTGATCACCAGGGATCTTCATGGTTCTCTCTACAAACACCTTTCCCTAGTGCTGTGAGCATCTCCAAATGACCTCCGATAACACATTCACTGCCTGTCCACTAGCCAGTAAGACCCTGCAGGCCAGCACTGTCTGCAGCTCCATGCTGGTCCAGCTCCTCACAGGCCCCCAAGTGGAGCAGAAGATGTTCTCAGATCATTTCCTAGAGTTACTTCTGTCTCCTATAGTCACAACTTGAACTCACAGGAAGAAACCAGAACACCACTCTGGATATTTTAGTTTCTTCTCCAGCCTTTGGAATTGTGACAAACATATTTCAGTTTCCTTCTGAAACTGTGACCCTGGCTGACCTGCTACCAAGGATCCACAGGCCTTGTCCTGCAGGATGACCCAACAGTTGGGTCTCTCATGTTTTCAATTTTAAGTGTCTTTGGGAATATTGTCTAATAGAAAGTTGTCCCCATCCCTTGCCCAGGAATAGAACTCTACCGCACTGAGGCAACAAATGACCTCAAGAAAGATAAGTCCCACCTTTGGTTCACATGATCAGTAGTGATTGTTCTGAAGTTGTAATTGCTAGTCCTGGCCTGGCCATCATCTTACCAAAGATATATATGTAAGATGGAAGGGTCTCAGAAAGGCATTAACACCTCTTATTCTTCCATTTTGTTTAACACAGATATGTTGCTAGAATCTCAGGAGCCATTTTAGGACTATTAGGGAAAAGGTTGCAGAAACATGGTGCATCTGAGATCCATGATGGTCGGTTTGTTTTTTTTTAAAGTCATCTTCTACTAAAAGCCTCCCAACTGATTGCTGGCTCTCACTTCTTGGTTGTACATGAACATATGGCACAATGGGCTTTAAAAATGGTGAAGGAATCTCATCCAGGTATAGCAGGGATACCTTGCTTTGTATACAGTTATCCCTGCTTATCTGCAGGTTCTACATCTGTAACTCAACCAACTACAGGTTGAAAATATTTTTTAAAATTTCTATCTCTACTGAACATATACAGATGCTTTTTTTAAAACCATCATTCCTGTCGTGGTTGCTTGTAATATCAACTTGATACAAACTAGAATCACCCGGAAAGGATATCTAGGTTGACCTCTGGGCATGCATGTGAGGAAGATTATCTGAATTCATGAGAAGAGATGCCCACTGTGGGTGGCATCATTCCCTGGGCAGTAGACCCTGGACTGTATAAGAACAGAGAAAGTGAGCTTAACACTAGAATGCATTCATTCATTATCCTCTGCTTCCAATTGTAAATGTGATGTGATCAATGCTGTTAGGATTCTGACGCTGTGATTTCCCAGCAAGTCTGTACTGGAATTATAAGCTAGTATAAACCAATTTCTCTCCAAAGTTGCTCTTGTCAGGGTATTTTATCACAGCAATGGGAAATTAAACAAAGACAATTCCCTGAACAATTTAGTGTAACACTGTGCAATACGTGAGAACACTTCTGCTCTGCTATTTAAACAGCATTTGCCTTGCAGTGGGTATTAGTGGTCTGGAGGTGTCTTAAAGCATACAGAAGAGGGTGTGTAAATACCACGACATTTTACATATGGACTGGAACAATAGATTCTGGTATCCTCAGAAGTCCTGAAACCAATTCTTTACAAAACCTAGAAACTACTGCATTTGTCTTTGGCAATATTCATTTCCTAAAGAGCACTCATTTCAAAATCAACACAGTTGCAATCTGTTTCCTTCTGAAGATCTGAAGTGAGTTAAACGCCTGTCCGTAACCTCTCTAGGAGCTGCTGCATTATCCAGCAGCAAGGGTGGAACTCAGCTTGTGAGGTGTCACCACCACCCAGCTCTGCTTTCACTCTACTCACTGAACAGTCTGATTTTGAAGAGAAAGAGATCAGCTCCTGACCACACCCATCCAGGACAATCAGTGCTCGGTAGGTAGGAAGTCAGGAGAAGCAAACAATAAAAGGCATCTTCAAGTTCAATGTATTTTTCATCCCTGAAATGAGGAATTAATATTCCTGGAAGCCCCAGAGCAGCAAAGGGTCAGTGGTGCAGATTTTAATTCTTGGTCTCACTCATACGAGAAATTCTTTCTGTCAGCCCATGCATGCAATAACAGTGATTATATAACAGGCCAGCACTATGAGAATGATGGGACTCTGGGGCCTGGGAGCCCTTGTCTCAGATCTTTGGAAGCAAAGACACCCCCAGGGCTAGCATCAAGTGGCATTCCCTTTGTAACTCATGCCTCTGTGGTCTTCCTGTCTCCACACTCCTGACTCCATGTATGGTACTGTTGGTGCTCAGATTGTAGACATTTATGGCCTGTTCCTTTGCAGAATCTAGAATCCCCTGTAATAGGATTTGGGCTTTATCATAGCATACATTTACTTAACATCACACACACACACACACACACAGAGAGAGAGAGAGAGAGAGAGAGGAGAGAGAGAGAGAGAGAGAGAGAGAGAAGCCTTTGTGGTGGTTTGACTAGGAATGGTCCCCCATAGGCTCATATATTTGAATGCTTGGTCATTAGGGAGTGTCATTACTTGAGAGGGAATAGGAGGTGTGGCCTTGTTGGAGTAGGTGTGGCCTTGTTGGAGTAGGTGTGGCCTTATTGGAGGAAGCCCAAGAGAAGCCCAGGGCCTCCCTCTTTTCTTCCCTCTGCCTTCAGATCCAGATGTAGAACTCTCAGCCACCACGATTCCTGCCATGACGATAATGGACTAAACTTCTGAAACCATAAGCACGCCCCAATTAAATGCTTTCTTTTATAAGAATTGCCTTAGTCACAGTGTTCATCACAGCAATAGAGCAGTGACTAAGACACCTTTGGGATGAAGAGGAAATTAACTCCCTTTTCTGGCTCTAACACATGTTAGATATCTTAAAGGGTTCTGTGAGGGTACCAACCAAAGCTGGTTTATCAGGGTGTCTTTATTCATCTCTCCCTGCCATGGTTCTCATGCAGCAATGCAATGCTAGAAAAGCACAAGTGAGAGCTCCCCCACGATGGCAGCTCCTCACCCTGGGAAGGACATTTCCAGCAGGGGTGGCCAGCTGCTGAGATCAGCAGTGACTCTGATGTGCTGCCCCCTAGAACAGCATTAGCAGTCTTGGAACCTGGGGTGCTCCTAGGCATTCTGATTCTCTTCGGGCTTTTGATCACAATTACTTAATTTTTTTGTGTGAATCATTATGGAGAACATGGGTCTTTTCTAAAATTAATATATATTGTATATATTTTATTATAATCTGAATTTTTAATAATTGGGTTTCTAAACATGTCACAAGTTTCTTTTGAACGTAGAGACAGGTCTTAAAGGGAGTTAACAATATATCTCTATGTGCTGTCATAGCTACCCTATGACAGTCCTCATCACTAAGGTAGGTTGTTGTCATCCTCAAGTTCTGGAAGCCGGAGAGCTATTCTCAGACAGAGGCACAGGCCCCAATGTAAGGTTAGAACAAAGCTGAGAACATTTTGCTAAATGTGAACCCACAGGAGGAATTCTCTGCCTCTTTTTCTAGTTCATTCTGAACTCAAGGTAATACCCTGGAAGTTTCTAGTACAGAGTCACACCTATTTCTAACAAGTTATTCATTTTCTTCTACTTATACAGATCAAACATTTGTGGAAAAATACTGTAACAAGAATGCATAGAACACCAGATTTCTATTTCCATTTCAAACATATTGGACTTGCTCAGATCTCATTTTAAGAATGGGGGTTTGGACAGCTGGTCAAAATGCAAATATCCCTCCATATATTTAATTGAACAACATCTTCTATCAAAATCACCACAGACTCAGAGCCATAGGATTCCCTTTAGAGTCTCAGCAGCACTTTAATGGGATAACTGCCCATGATGTGCTTGGATCTTGACTCCTAAGATGTCACAGAGGTTTGAAATACTGAAATTGGTTTACCTCCTGCTACAGCTCAGATCCAGAATGTTCCCCCAATGGCCAGAGTATTAAAGAATTGATTCCCAGCTTGAAGCTACTAGGAACTGGGGAAAACCTGAAGAGGTAGGGCCCCTGTGAGAGGTCTTTGGGTCATTAGGAATGGGCCCCTACAGAAAAGAGTGGGACCCCTCTTCTCCATGCTTTCTGGCCATGGGGTGAGTGATTTTGTTTTTGCCAAACATTCCATTTTACCATGATGTGCCAGCAGAACTTTGAAACTGGGAATAAAAATGAACCTTTTTTATTTATAAGTTGATCATCTATGTTACTTTGTTATAGCAATGGAAATCTGACTGACATGGATATAAAAAGATTAGCCAAGCCACAACCATGGTCCAGCTATGGCTGACTGTTGAAGAACACAGAAAATTGACAACATCCAACCTCTACAATAAAGATATCTAGATATGAAGATATGAGTTTCATCGCCCCAGCCAAGGGAAAAGCTAGGAAAAAGGTAATCTATGTCTTTGTTGAGGGGGGATGGGCAGGTCCTAAGAAATTCTGGTTGTTCCGAGTTGTGACATTCCTTTTCTAAATTGGATTTGTTTACTTGTGTGTGTGTGTGTGTGTGTGTGTGTGTGTGTGTGTGTGCGTGTGCGCGCGCGTGCCAGGTATGGCTGTGGAGGTCAGAGAACTTGTGGGAGTCAGTTCTCTCCCTCCATCATGTGCTTTCCAGAGATTAAACCCAGCTTGTCAGTATGCACAGCAAGTGTCTTTACCTGCTGAGCTATCTTGCTGACCCATTCTTTTCTAAACCTCAGCTCCAACCTATGCATTTGGCTTGCACCATCAAAAAGGGACAATTAGAAGGGACAAAAAGGTACTTACCAAGAAACTTTTTCATCATAAATGAACTGTGAGAAAAATAAAAGAGAAAGGTAGTTAGAGATGTTTGTGCACATGCGTACACACACAGGCACATACAGTGTTTTAAGATGGTGAGCTGCCATGCTCGTTGATGGCATGGTGGCATTCATGGCTGGGCTAGAATGTCAGGCACCTGTGGGCAAACTCTTTCTGTAGTCTTTGGCTACTAATAGTGACAGAATAAGTACTGTGAAGATTGGGGTGGATGCAGGTGAGAAGGAGAAGCAAGGCCACCCTTCAGTGTCTGTCCCCAAAATGGGGGGACTGAGAGAGAGGACTCTACTTTAGAAAACCAGACAGGACGCATCACGGAATTTAGGTCTACAGGGCCATGGGAACTTGGCAGATACTTAAAATGCTGATCCTTTAGGTGCCACAAGTGACATTTCTGCACATCTCGGATTTGATGCAAGCACCTGACATCCCACACTCAACATTGTCCTTTTAATTGTCTCCTTTGGTTCCCAGAGGAGACATTCTATCACAAGAGATGTGGGGGATGAGCACCCCTCAGCATCTCACAAAGAAAGTGATCTTAATGCAAGTGAACGCAATGGTATCAAACTGTGTTCAGATCCTGCGCACTGTTGGTTGCCCGTGTCTGTGCCATGGCTTGCCTTCTGTCAAAGAAGGAAGCTAGGGAGGGTCAGAATCAGTGAAGGAAACAAAAGACAAACCGAGATTTTACTCTTATCTCTGTTGGGACCAATAGAGCATCTATAACAAAGTTTAACCAGTTAACTTCCAGGAAACAAAACAATAAACAAACAAACAAAAACAAAAAACCAAGGAACACTGACAAATTTCAGAAAGAAGAAATAATTTCTGGGGTTAGCAACCCGTTGTGGAATTGATTCCAGGACTCAGGCCTGGCTCTGATTTTGGACCGCTTTTCATGACACATTTTTCTGCCCATATGACTCATAGGACCACAGAGGGTGTACCTGTTCTGGAGGCAGAAAGCCACAGAAATGGTTCCACAGCTTCTCTGAGCATGGCGAGTAACACTTTGAGTAACACTCCCTGTGGAGGCAGAGACCTCTGGAGTCACTAAGACAGAGGCTGTAGGCAACCTAGGAATCCAGTGCCAGATCACCATACAGCAAGATGGTGAATGTAGCTAAATAATGTGGGCATTGCCTTGGTCCCCAGCGATTCTAATAATCTCCAGTCATGCTGAGATACAAAAGTCACCTCAAAGACAGCCCACATGCCTCACAAGGAGCTCTTCTGTCATCTTAAAGGTCTAAGGAGAAGGACCAGGAGATAGGAGCCATGCTTACTTGTAACTGGTGCCTTTTAACAAGCTGGTAAAAAGGAAAAGAATGTTGCTTCACTGCTTTGTTACTCTGTCTCTGCCATCAATTTCAACAAGCTGACATCTGGATGAAAATGCCAAGCCAGAATCGGGGAAAGGATTTGAGGAATCAAGGAAGCAATCCCATGATGTAGGCTGGATGGTATGGAATCCACCCCCTGGAAAGATTCACGGTTGTTTTACATAATCACTAGCATTAACAAATTGTTATCATGAAATAATGGAACAGAACCAATTATTTAAGATGGAAAAAATTTTATTAATGACTTAATTCAATATTAGTCGTAGCAATGGGGAAGGAACAATTACTTCATAGTCACTCAAGAGAATATGAGACTCTAGGAGAGTTTATTAAGCCAGGACAATTTAATTCTCTTCCATCAGAGAAGGCAGGCGATGCCATACATGAATGCAGCTTTTAGGGAGCCTGCGTTCTGTGGAAGATTATCCATAGATGGAGGCATAGGTCCTACAAAGGGACTCACTGGGAGTTGCCTAGTCTTGGTACAGAGGTACAGGCATGCTTTGTGTACCTTCTAGGAACAGCTGTGGGCTGGTATGACTTTAACTATTGATTATTAAATAATAATGGGCTTAATTATACAAAGATTCTCGCTATGGCTTGAATGTGAAACTCCCCCACAGATGCATAGTCTTGAACACTTGATCCCCTGGAGATCTGAGAGGGTACAGAGCCTTTGGTGTGGTGGCCTAGCAAGCAGAGATGAGTCACTGGCCTTGCAGGTAATGTCTGCTTGTGTCTGCTTCTGGTCCAAGCTTTCTGCTTCTTGATCCATCAGGTGTGTGAGAAGCCCCAGAAGACTCCCTCTGCCACAGAAAGGAGCACACCCCTTCCTGTACCTCCCCTGCCATGCTGGCCTGCACTCCCTCTCAAACTGTGAGCTAACCATAATCTTCTCCTTTAAGTTGTTTATGTCATGCGTTTTGTCATAGTGAAAAGTGACTAACATGGTCCCAAATTGGGTGGGTGGGGGGTTAGAGTTTACAGGGAACCTAAAAGATCCGAGAAACAGTGGGTAAACCATGGTGAGATTGGGTAAATTACTAGCTAGAGGCCGAGCATCTGAGCCTACAGGACTGCTGAGGTGGTGTGTGATGTGTGGAGGTTGGGAGGCAGATACAGGAGAAACGGATGTCATCTTCCCACAAGCTCTAACACACACTAGTGATCTGGAAACATTCAGAATACCGGACAGTTTTCCTTTTGTGTGGCTCAGGGACACCCTGTTCCTCAGGGGTAACAACTGCTGCACCTTCTGCCAATGATAAGGCCTCCTACAAACCAGGGGACTCAGCAGAAACATGGTTCAGTTTATCCTTGTACCTTAAGAGGAGTGTGGAGAGCAATGAGAAGATGCCTCAGTGGAGGTTCTTGCGGGAGGCAGTGCGGCCTGGCCATCCCTTCCTGGAAGACTGGGGATGAAGACATCAACATGGAAGCTGACTGTTCTTTCAGAAAGGACCTCGGGCCATCCAGATGGAGGACTAGGATTATTCTGTGTGGAAAGTTAAATGACCGACAGGGATCTTCTGTGGGGAATGGGTTTGCTATTGATTATAGATATTATTTAATTCCATTCTCTTGACAGAAGTAATGCAAATACCTCTGGTTTTGTGCTCAGGCTGTAAGAGGGAAGGAACATCCCTCACCCACATAGGAGTAGTCCAGACTGTAGGAAACTGAAAATCATTCGCTCGCTTAAGACATGCCAATTTAGTTCCATGTTGCTACCACTAGGTGGTGCTCACACCCTAGCCCTCCACCCTGCTTTAGGCAGAGGATTTAAAATGAAGCGGTTCAAGCCCGTTTTCAAAGCTCTGGTGAAGCCTAGGGAAGGAGCAGAAGTACCTCAAGGCAGCATCCCACTGAAGCGCCTACAGCCAGCCTATAGCTGCATGTGGCAAGTGGCAGTAGTTTCTGTTTGATGTTCACTACTGGAGGAGGGGTGTCAGGGGATAAGTCATCTATGCCAAGACTGAATCTTCTTGTGAGTTGCAACCAAGCAATCTCCTTTTGTGTCATTTGGAAGTAACTCAACCTTCTCCCGATAGAAAGCAAGCCTTGGATACTCTCTGCTGTATGTGTCTGAGGCCAGGAACTGAGATAACTCACAGTGCTGAAAGCCACTGGTGCAGAGAACGGGGCCTCAGATTTGCTGAGCAAGCGCTACCCTGGGGTCCTGGTCTCTGACCCAGATGTGGCTCATCCAAAGTCTTTCTCTTAGGTTTCCACGTATTCTGCAGCTGGGCTAAATGTGAACAAACAGAAATGAATTTGACAAAAGCACTCATTTCCTCTAGGCTTCCTTCAGAGAAGTGGTTTGGTACCATGGAAACAGGCTTGTCAATCCTTGTGCCTGCTCTAGAATTCTTCCCTAAAAGTCAGGCTGACTTCAGGCAGGTGGATCCCCGATACCAGATCATCTCAGTGGACTGCCAAGGGAGTGGCTCCCTCAAGATGGAAAACATGGCAAAGACGAGTCGGGAGTGGCTGTGTAACCAGGAGAAGAGAGAGAATTGTCTCACCAACCAGTCCCAGTGTTTGAATCCTATAAGCTATAACCACACGGCAGGAATGGCTGCATTGCTGCGATTTCATAATCTATATTATAATCATCGTCACTGCAAGAATTTTAAGCAGTGAAAATGACAGGGGAAATCAAGAGCATCATTTTCTTTCAAGAGGCTGAAGCTTGAAAATCTTCCTTTCTTAACTATCTATCAAGCTAGGCTCCCCCATAGACCCTTCTCATTCAACAGCACGTCCCCCTCCCTGCCCCAGCTGCTCTGCAGTTAGAGCACCCACTCCTTCGGGTCTAGGAGCAGGCCGTGCAAGTGGCTTGGCTGAGGGGAGGAAGCCAGTGGGCCATACTAAAAAGCTGTTCCCTACTATGATTATGCTTTAAGGATAATGGGACATGTAGGAAGATAACTGGAATGACATTAGTGGCTGCAGGAAGGAGGACAAGAAATGAAGAGTTTGAAAAGTACTGATCATCTCCTATGCACTTGTAAGAACCTACTCCCAGGAAGGAAAGGGGTGGGGAGATAAATGAAGTATAAAGGAGACAAGGGTTGCTAAAATAAAGGACTGGTAGCTGGGCAGCACAAAAACAAATGCAAGTGCAAACTAAAAACTTAAAGTCATTTTCTGCTGTGGAATAATCCTTCTGTACACTATGTGAATATGTGTCGCTATGATTGGTTTAATAAACAAGCTGACTGGCCAATAGCTGAACAGGATAAAGTTAGGTGGGAAAGCTACACTGAGAATGATGGGATGAGGTAGGGTGGAGTCAGAGGAGTTGCCAGCTGGATGCCGAATGAGTCAGATACACAAAATGGGGTAGAGGTAAAAGCCACGAGCCTTGGGGCAGCACATAGATGAACAGAAATGATTTAAGTTGTAAGAGCTAGTTAGTAACAAGCCTGAGCATTTGCAATTAATATAAGCCTCTGTGTGGTGATTTGGAAGTGGCTCCCAGGACGGGGAAAACTCTGCCTACAATTTTCCTTGTAAAAGCTGAGTGGCTCCTTATTAGTAAGAGACCTTCTCCAGAACAGTGGACATATGCCCCTTCCTGTTGAGTGAGCAAATGCAAAGATGACCCCAGCCTCCTAGTATTCCCACACCACAGTTCCTTCTGT